CGTACCTCCGTGAACGTGTGCGACGAAGGAGACCAGACATGTGGAAGAATGCCTCATGGGTTCTTCATCACGACAACGCGCCAGCACACAACGCGCTATCTGTGAAGAGGTATTTGGCAAAAAACAACATTCCAGTGATGGAACATCCACCGTATTCTCCGGACCTAGCACCGTGCGACTTTTTTCTCTTCCCAAAAATCAAGTCTGCGCTGAAAGGGACCAGGTTCGAGTCCGTGGATGCAGTGAAAGCAAAAGCGACGCAACTCTTGAAGAGCATAACACAAGATGACCTGCAGCACTGCTTCCAACAGTGGAAAATTCGCATGGAGCGGTGTAGGGATCGGGGAGGGGACTACATTGAAGGGGATAACATTTCGACTGTCTGATTTTTTTTTAATAAACGGTTAGAGCATGAATCCGGTTTCTTTATTGCCACACCTTGTATACATTCAGAGCTTTGTGTTGAGGTTCTCACACCGGTGGTTATGAACAGTACTGTCTTCTGAGACATAATGCTGTGTAGTCTGTAGAAAATCAACCAACATTTCAAAGGAACATATCACCTGCATCTTCAGGATGAAATAAGGTGAACAAAATACTAGCATGAATTCTTTATAAATATTGATGCTGTATTTAGTGATTATTAACTTACTTACTTACTCATGGAGCTGAGCCCTTCTTGAGGAGCTGCAAATTCTGCTGCTACTCAAGAATTTCCCAGCATTTTATGGAACCCGAATGTTCATTACTGTGTTCACAAGAGCCCTCCACTGGTCGCTATCCTGAGCTAGACCAATCCTATCTCTTTTAGATCCATTTTAATATTGTTCACCCACCTACACCTTGGTCTTCCCAGTGGTCTCTTTCCTTCTGGCTTTCCCACCAATATCCTATATGCATTCCTCGTCTCCCCTATTCGTGCTACATGCCATGCCCACCTCATCCTCCTTGATTTGATTGTTCTAATTATACTTGGAGAAGTGTACAAGTTAGTGATTATTAACACATAATTGTGTACTTTTTTTCAGTTGCCTTCCAACTACAGTGTGAACATGAAGGGCCTGGCATACAGAGCACTAAGATAAAATAGGTTCTGGAATAGAATTGTGGTGACCTGTAGATTTCAAGAAATGGATAACGTCTGATTGAGTTACTGTAGTGTGTATCTAGGTTAATGTTCTTCCTGAAAACTGTGATAAAATGTTTTAATCTCCTGTGGAGGTACTGGAAAGAAAACTGCTGTTCCTATTTTAGCACATATGTGTATTAACTTATTGATGATTCCAAGAAAAAATAACTACTGTGGTATAAAGTGCAAGAAACTCATCTGCTACCTGAAGTAAATGTGTAATTACTTATTTGATGTTGAGAAACAAATTTTACTTTCCACACACTCAGTACAAATGTTATATTTGAGGTTCTTACAGCAGTAGGATCATTGAAGGTTATAGTGTGGGGGCCGGTTTTTATGGCCCACACCTTACATACATTACATTCTTACAGCAGTAACTATGAAGAGTGTGTTCTGGGATGCAGATCCAAAGGAGACAGAAAAATGTATTCACTACTTCCAGTCTAGAAAAGGTTGAACTTGGCGAACTTTAAAAATTTACTAATACTCAATTCTGTAAAGTACACTTAACATTTTAAAAACAAATGTATTAAGAACAACGCATTCTCCATGGTCTGTCATCTGGACAGAAGAAAACTTTAATTTGAACATTTCTGCTCCTACAGACCAAATGACATATTGGAATCCAGATACTGCAATAACTCAGTTAATAAACAAAGATTTGTTGACAGCTGACAGTAACTTTAAAAACTGTTAGATACTTCATACACACAAGGATGCAGTTTGGGAGATTCCAGAGGAAAATGATGGGATAGTACTTCAAATTTGCCACAACTCCTTTCTTCCATGTCCTTTAACATTTCATCATTCACTATTATCTTTCCATTTGACTCTCCCCTAAGTGAGCAGTGATACAATCTGGCTGATTTACCTGCAGACCAAGAGGCCTCAAGGCCTACTGAACAAGAAACTCTGGTGAATCTCAGACAGTGAAAAGAGAAATTTCTGTCTGTTGGAAATCAGATTCTGTGTAACCAACTAGTAACCTTTCACTTTACTCACTGAGCTGTCTTTTCTCTGTTGAGAAGTTATCACTAGGGAGGGGGGGGGGGTATTCTTGTTAAGAAGTGAGGAATGACGCTAAGCAACTCACTTCTGTAAATCACTTGGAAGGTTTTTACACAGAACCGGAATGATGGATCTTTGGCAAACCAAACAGAAAAACCAAGGGAAAGTAAAACTGTAACCACAAATAAGACTGAAAATAATAAAAATTAATGAATAAACCCCCCCCCCCCNAAAAAGTCAAAGTCAAACTGACCTCATAAGAAAGAGGTTGATGATGCTATTTGTGTTGATTTTGTTGGGTTGACATTTTTCCACTTGTTAACTCATGCCTCATTTGAGGCCTGGTTGCTAAAAATTTTAAATTAGGCCTTTACACTAAAAATTAGCCGAGCACTGCAAACACTTCTGTCAGTGAGAGCTCTCAAGGTAAATTATTCACATAAAAGTAAAAGTGAGAGCATTCCTCGTCAAGAGCAACATATTCCACGCTTGTCTGATGACAACACTACAATCCTTGGAGCAGGGAACTGAGCTAATTTCGCAGTGCTGCTATTTTCTGTGGTACATGATTTGTGACTTTCGTGTATGAAAGTATAAATGTTATTGACAATGGAGTGTGATTTTCCATTTGAATTCTGTATAAGATTTGTATTGATTTAAGGTGTACCTTACCTTAAGTAAGTTGTTCACTGAATGTTAACTATTAGATTATATTCAAATTACATTGTAATATGTTAGTATGGTTACAAGATACTGCACAGAAGGGGGGCAGATATTGCAAGTAATGTGTTATATCCCTGAACGTTTCTGAAGTAACAGCATAAAGTGAGTGTATCAAAGTGTAAGCTGTTTCCAGTGCTGCCCTGCAATTGGTTGATAAATCATGCCATTTTATACTGAGAGTTAATTAGCTTACTATCCAACTAGCTATTTTTGCTTGGAATATTTGTTATGTACCTCAGATGTAAAACTTTACAATTAGTATTATCTAGGTTTATTATGCAGAAAGATTGATGTATATATTTTATAAATGAAAATAGTACAAGATATTTTGCAAGGACACAGAATAGTTATAGGTATTTTGAATATAACAAACGTTTAAAGTAACATGAAGAGCTTCCTGAATTTTAAAGAAGTGTGGGTTGCATGTGTGTGTGTGTGTGTGTGTGTGTGTGTGTGTAAAACAGAAAAGTAGAAGACTTACCAATTTGTATAATTGTTCAGGGTAATATGGCATAGTGAATGCCCTGACCAGTTTTATTCAAGAACAACTTGATATCCATTTGAAAAATGCAAATATATTAATGATGACATGAGCGTACAGTAAACCCTTATTTAGCACAGGGGTTACAACATATGTTTACACAAGCTAAGGATTCAGAATAAATGAGCATAATATGTACATACGTGGTGTGTTCAAAAAGTACAAAACCCTAATCCCCTTCTAAGTAGTCTCCTTGGTAATGCACACACTTCTCCCATCGCTTCCGCCATTGTTGGAAACACTTCTGGAACGTGTCTTTTGGAATAGTGATCAGCCGGGCCGTCGCATTCCTCATGATGTCTTCTCTTGACTCAAATCGGGTTCCTTTCAGCGGCATTTTCAGCTTGGGAAATAGCCAAAAGTCACACAGAGCCATGTCAGGGGAGTAGGGAGCCTGACGAACCACAGGGATGTTGTGTTTGGCGACAAAAGTCTGAATCAGATGCACAGAATGGGCGGGTATGTTATCATGATGGAGCTGCCAAGTTTTTGCTGCCCACAGATCTGGTCGTTTGCGCCATACAGCATCACCAAGGCGACGAAGGACCTCCTGGCAGTATTCCTTTGTGATGGTTTGGCCTTGTGGTGCGTACTCATGATGAACAACACCACGGGAGTCTAAGAAAATGGCCAACATGACCTTGAAATTGCTGCAGACCTGCTGTGCTTTTTTTGGCCTCGGGGATATCGGATGTTTCCACTATGACGACTGCATCTTAGTTTCCGGGTCGTACCCATGAACCCACGACTCATTGCCTGTGATCACGGTGTTCAGAAAGTTTTGGTTACTGTTTGCATTGTACAGCATGTCCTGTGTGATTTCCAGATGGCGATGCTGCTGCTCCATTGTTAGCAGTTTCGGTACGAATTTCGCGGACACACTCCTCATGCCCAAATCCTTGGTCAAAATTGAATGTACCGATCCAGTGCTTACCCCTATCTCGTTCGCAAATTCTCGGACTATGATACGACGGTCCTCCATGACCAAAGTCCGCACTTTCTCAATGACATTCTCATTTTGGCTTGTTGAGGCTCTGCCTGACGCGGTTCGCTGTCCACTGATGTGCGGCCATCTTTGAAGCAGTTGTACCACTCCTTTATCCGTGAGTTGCTCATGGCAACGTCCCCGAAAGCCCATTGAATCTTGCGAATGGTTTCTACTTGGGTATCGCCAAGCTTTTGGCAAAATTTGATGCAATATCGCTGCTCATGTTGTTCCGTCATTTTACACCTTACTGGAATCCCATGAGCGCTCACTACACATCCTCACTCATAAGCCGACTGCCAGCGCCTGACGCTTTCTGCGAGCAGGAAAAAATTCACGACTGCGCATGAATGTCCCCTCCACATCTCCACCGAAGAGAGCCTCCCGCACTTCATTGGTTTATGCGGGAAAAAAGAAGGTTCGATACTTCTTGAACACACCACGTATATACTATAAGAAATATTTTATTGATACATGCTGCATAAATTGTCACGTGTTAGTGACTAGATACAGCGTTTGGGTTTGTAATTCAATTTACTGAATACTTATAACTTGTAACTGCAGGTAACAAGAGTTTCATGGATCTACACACACTACAAATCACTGTAGTGTAGCATACATAATGTCTTCTGTGTCTTCACCAGGCGTTGCTAAGTAATGGATCCCAGCAAGGGGTATTCCCCTGCTTGTCTGGTCCCATCTCACTTTCAGTTGCTACTGTTTGTCTTGGTGCCGAGCCTCTTGAGGCTTATGACCTGAGGTCCCCCCCCCCCAACTCATACAGTCATAGTCCTTATGCAACATCCTCACTGACTAGGGTATTGGGTTTGTCTCTTGTGAATATGCTTGGACCTTGTCAAGTGTACATGCCACACATATAGTGTGATATTGAAAATTCTTTTAGAATATCTACAAGTCCTCTGCCTGTCCAGGCATTGCAAACAGGTCATGCCCATCTTACTGAACTTATGCTACAACAGCAGTTTAGTCACTTGAACAGTCATAAGCTTGACCACCACCAAGCTTAAGCTTCTTATATTTTCTGTGTCTGGCTTCACCATGTCTGTTTTTGTATGTTTATTCTCCAACATTTCCTGTATGTTTGCATGTACGTCCATTTCCATGATACATGTTTTTGAGATGTTACCTTGCAGTGGATGGTTTCTCTTCTTAAATTATTTTATAGTGTCACAGGATACAAAAATGTTAGAAATTAGTGTATGTAGCATGATAATAGGAGATGCTACACTGTCACCTCACTGATTTATGAAGCATATTAACTTTCTGTTCTAGAGCCATTCATTTCTAACTCTTTTTGCAGCAGCAGCAGCACTAAATTGATGTTTCCAGTCCCTTTCTTTGAGGCAAGATGATGCAGTATTTTGTAAAAGTATGCTTGTCAGCACCTCACAGTGAGAGTTACAGCATCCCTGTGAAGCTGGGCAGCTTGCATGGGTGTGCTGTACATACATATATATATATATATATATATATATTAATCCATAAAAAAGTAAGTAAAGGTATCTCTGGAACAGGCTGTGTAGGCCCATAGAATTGTGAGATGTTGAGGTTCCCCCATTTTCTAGACAGTTGGCTCATAGATGGCGGTAAGGTTGTCAACCTTACATGCTGGCCACCCTTTACTCCCAAGAATATTCCTGGTACTCACTTCTGTTAGAGGCTGAATCAACCCAAGGGCTGTAGTGCGGCTGGAAGGATTAGGCAAATTGAAAAAATTCCAATGACCTCATCAGGAATCGATCCTGTGAGCTTCCAGCTTGTAGCATAGTGCCTCAACCAACTACACTACCGCATGCCCCATATATTAATCCATGGATAATTGAAACCTTACTGTATTTGTATAAAATGAGTGTCTTGTCTGGTAACCAATTCATGTTAAACAAGGAATTACTGTATATTGTTGCTTGACTGAAATGGGATTTGTGATAGTACGAGTATATGTACATTGTGGAGCTGAGATAGCTCAATCTGTATAGTGCAGGACTACGGGCTGGGTGGTCAGCGTTCAATTTCTGGTGGGGATAGATATTTCTCTACTCCACACTGTCCAGCCTGGCTCTAGGGCCCATCCAGTCTCCTATCCTGTGGGTGGTGGGTGCCCTTTCCTCAGGAACAGAGTGACCAGGGCATGAAACTGACCACTCATTCAACTAGTGCCCAGGTCAAGAATGGTGGAACTATATCTCCACTGCCCTCTACACCTTCATGGTGTGTTACATAGTTAATTAAGCACAGGGACAACTTTACCTTTTATAAGTACATTCTGAAGGAAGTAGATTAGTGTTGTATAAATGAGGCAAATGTTTGTCATTAAGCTAAACTTCTTTGTGTAAGATTTGAAACTTTCACAGTGAATAAACGCACCAAATCTTCTGTGGCTAATAGCCATATCACGCTTTAGTTAAAAACTGATATTTCAGAGATCTTAAGTTCCTGCCTTATTTCTGTTGCTTCTTTGGGAAGGTGGTCCATGTAGGCTGATGCTTTGGCTAGTACCCCAGTCTCCTGGAACTTGATCCAGTGACCTGATTGAGTGCTGTGTTCTGTAACCGCAGACATATCCAGCTGATACAGCATGTTCATTGCATGTTGTTTTAGTGGACTTCACCTTTTCCACATTTGCATGGAATGCTATGGACCCCTGAGACATTTAGCCCTATTTTTTTAATTGTTTCTTGAAAAATAAATAGTTTATTTTTAATGTGTTACATGCTTTGAAACGTGAGACCTGTCCAAAAATAAAGAAAGGAGCCCCGCTTTTTCAGTGACTGAAGCACAGTGTCAAACAAGTCATAATATTTTGATTGGGAAATCAGAAATGCCATAAGTCTGCATGCAATCTAATCATTTGTTTTAAATTCCAACCAGAAACTAACTCCATGGAGGACAGTCCTTATTCAGGAACTCAAGAAATTCCCTGCTTTTACAGAACCCAAAAATTCATTACCGTGCTAACCAATATTTCC